TCTGTGAACTTAAACAATTTCTGACCATCTCAAATACCATAAAAGAAACCACTCTAGAGAACTGCAACTGTCTACTAAGTCCCTAAGTGTGAAAGACGGTTACTTCTGAAATGTGCCCCAACAGCTCGCAGTAATACTTCTCAAAAAAGTGCTATAGACAGGGGTGAGTAAAGAAACGGGCTGCCAGCACACGAATCAGGTCTCCTTCTTCTTCCATGAACATCGCTCTTGCAGTGCTAGTATCTTCACCAATGAAAACATCAAGCATCATAATAACTCCATGAATACTGGCTGGCTTCCTTTTACCTAACCTACCCAGGAAATTTTGCTTTATATTGCTAACTGCATTTCTCCTGCCTGAACTGTCCTTTCTTCTTCCTCTTTCCAACTCATTACTCTATCATGCCATCTTTCCCTCACTCTTCTTCAGTGATTTTTCATTTCCCTGAACTCCTGTAGCACTTACTATTTATGACATGTAATTGACAGGGATATACTATCTCATACCACTGTTTGATTGTTCACACATATATTGCTGAAATGGTGAGTCAGTGTCCCTAAAAAAGTCAGCTGGCTGAATACCTAAAGACCTCATAGCTGATATTACCTTAGGGATCTGATCACAGGCAAAAAGCCATGATCTCAGCCCTGCAGGCCAAGAAATTTGATCTTATTACAAGGAGACAAGACTCATGTTAAAGAAGCTCACAAGAGTGAAGCAAAAAAATCAGGGAATGGGGTAAGATGCTTGTGTTCGCTGTCAAGCACATCTCCTCCCCATTGGCAAGCCCCATGAGAGGCAAGGTACACCATACAGTTGGCTGATGAGCATGGAATCATTAAGAAAACCGAAACAATCAGAAGAAAACTCCCACAAGCTCCCTGCCAGCGACTCTTCCACATACTCTGCCCTCTGCCTGATTCTTCTTGACTATCCAACCTCCCATCTAAAGCCAGTTTCTCCATCTGTGCACTCGATCCCACCCTGCCTGTCTACTGAAAGCTATTGTTCACTTCTACTCTTTCTCTACACTGTGAATTTTTCTTCTCTCCTGTATCATTCCTATCAGCATACAAATGCCATCATTTACCCCACTTTAAAAAAACTTTTCCTGGACCCCAGCTACCACACAATTTCTTTGTACTTTGCAGCAAAATGCCTCAAAAAAGTCCAGATTTGCTTTCTCCAATTTCTCTACACCCCATTTCAATCAAGCTTTTGATCCCACTGCTGCACTGGTCAACATGTAGCACTCTTCCTTCTTGACCAAGCAGCAGCATTTATCCCAGTTGATCACTGCCCTCTTCTTGAAATACTTGGTTCCTGTGGTTTCCAGACTGCCCCCCTCACTCTCTCAACTGTTCTCTTACTTTACCAGTTGTTCCTCAGACTTCTTTGCCAGTTCCTCTTTTATCCAAAACATCTTAACGCTAGAGTGGCCCAGAGCTCAGTTCTTGGTCATCTTCTCTGTTTTCACTACTTGGTGATGTCATCTGATCTTGCGGTTTTAAATACTAGCTACTATATTTTAATCCTAAAATGTACTTTTTATCCCCATATTTTAACATCCCTGAAATCAGGATGTGTCTTACAATTAGTGGCATGTCATAATTTAATTTGCAGCATTCTTTTCTCTCTTGGGAGTACTTAAAATAATCGTGCACCTGGCAAATAATGACATTTTAGATTTAATGATTACAGTGTAAACTGACAGCTTCCAAATTTATATCTCCAGCTTAGACTTCTCTCCTGACCTGCAGACTTGTATATCTAACCACATACTTGACATTTCCTCTTGGATGTCTAACAGCTGTCTCAAACTTAACAAGTCCAAAACTGAACTCCTGATTTTCCTGTTCCACCTGCCATTTCTGATGGCAATTCCTTCCCTCCAGCTGCTCAAGCCAAAAACCTTAGTCATCCTTGACTCCTCTCTTCCTCTCGCACCTCATCCAATCCATGAAGAAATTCTGTTGGCTCTATCTTCAAAGTTTATCTAGAATCCTACCACTTATCATCCCCATTGCTACCATCATTAGCAGCCTCCATCATTTCTCATCTACAGTGGTACTTTTCAAACTTTAGTGTATATAAGACGTACCCAGGAAGCTGTTAAAATGCAGATTTGGATTCTGCATTTCTTCCCTAGACATCCCCATGGTTTACTCTCTCATTTCCTTAAGATCCCTCATCAGGAAGACCTTCCCTGACCACTCTCTATTAAACGGCACCCTTCCCTGCTGCCCCATTCTCTATCCCCCTTACCCTTATTTAAAAGTTTGCTTGTTTGTTTGCTTTTTCCAGAAGTTTTCAGNCCAAAGCACTAAGAAAATATTTAGTGGGTATTTGAGAAGACTATGCTTCTACATTAAAAGTAATTGTTCCTATATGAAAAATTATTATGTGTCGATTAAAAAAAAGGTAATTGTTCTTTTTTCCTTTTGAAATAGAGTATAGCTGTACTCTTGCAATAGACATTATATGACCAATTTATACATCAGCTTTAAATTTTACTTATTGCTTATTTATTTACCAAGATTTTAGTGTGATGATAATATTGCTTTATACAGGTGTTTACTCAAGTCAACAAAACTTTTTTTTTTTTTTAAATCTTAAGTTAACCTAAAAATATTACAATGTTAGTATCCCAGGGTCTAATTCATTGTTTCATAGTTTCTATGTGCTAGGCAAAGTCCCAATGCATAAATACAATTAACAAACACCTTATCTATGAAATTTTAAAGATCAAGTTCTTAGTAGTTTGAAAAAGTTATTTCTTTTCTTTTTCAAAGTGTAACCTTAGAATCATATAACATCTCTTGCTTTTCTTCAGAAGTACCTGTGTCCTATATCAAGATAGGATAATGTTTCATAATTCTGTAATTATAAAATGTTGTATTTTCCAGTAAATTCAAGTTATTTCTATTCAGTTTATTTAATATCATTGTCTCATTTTTTAAAAGGACAATTCCCAAACTAATTCCTTACATTATTCCCCTTTCAATCATTGTATCTTACATGACTTGACTTCTCTATCCTTCTCATTCTTAGGACCAACACCACCCCTCGAGTAGCTCATCACCCCTTCACTCATCTCTATAACATATTCCTTCCACTCAGACCTGGTTTTCTCAGTACTGGGTCACTAAACTCTGCATGTGAAACCTACGAGAACTCGACTGAACAAGGAAACGCTGGGCCATGTTACCAGGCTCTTAATAAATGTGTGTCACGCAGATTCAGAATCTCTTTTTCTCAGTCCTGAAGCCACACATCAGACACATCAACAATGCTCAAAACTGTCTCTCTCAACAGTGGAACCATCCCCTACCCCAAATAAAATGTTCCATGGCACATTTATAAAGCAGTTAAAAAGAAACTGCTAAAAATATAACTGCTCTGGTGGATGTGGGGGGATAGGGCACCCAGTTTTATTTTTCTTCATATAAAGGCTTCTGAGAAGAGATGAGCTGAATCTTAAAATACCGGGTAAAGTAAGTAGGTAGCCCAAGCAAAAGAAATACCATACGCAAAAAGCAAATTCTTTTGATAGTACAATCACAGAAATTCCTTAGGCTTTGTGGGGAAAATAGGATAATTTAGTCAGGCTCCCTCAGCTCAGGGGGTTGTGCAGCACATTTCTTTGTAAACAAATTGTGTGTGGGTGGAGTTAGTGCACATGTACACCCATGTATCTTTTTAGTTAATTGCTATTGTGTGTTCTTCAGTTTGTGAAGCAGAAACTGGCCAGCAGAGCTTGAGTCTAAAAATAGAGCATGTTTACTCTGCTGGCAGCTGCTCAGTNCTCAAAGGACCTCTTTACCGGTTACCTAGCTCATAGACCTGTGTGTGAAGGATTTATGAACATGCTCCAGGGTTCTGTGAGCTCCAGACCCTAGCTGTAGCACTACAGGCTTCTATCTAGAAAATTAACCACAAACTGCTTTATGTTCCAACTAGTCTAATAAAAAATTAAAATGAATTCCGATATCTAGATCAGTGACCCTGTCCTTCTGGACTGTAATGGCAGCTTCCTCACTGAAAAGCCTCTGACAAGCATCATAATCCCAGATACTCAAACTTATCATGGCCCCATCTTCATCCTACACTTCACTAGACATGCCTTTTAGTCCCACTTTTCAGACTTGTGACTTACCATAGCTTTCCTTCTTAGGGTATACACTGGGTTTTTACAATACGCCTGCTTGCTCTTCTGAAGGTAGCGCTTCCAAAAATTATGTAAAACTTCATTCTAAGGTGGAAGGGAAACTCATGGTGATTCAGGTCATGGCAACAAATATACAGGTACATCTATACTACAGAATCTCTTGTACTTTATATAGTCTCCCATCTAAATGTATTTTTACCTGCTTTTCCTAAAAAATAATTATCATCACAATATCAGGTATATGGGAAACACTAAATAAATCCTTCTTAATCTCAGATTTAGAGAAGAAAGGAACACTAGAGACTTCACCTAGTTGAATCCCTTCCTTTTGCATATAAAGTAATTAAGGATCAGAGAAAGAAAGCAATTGATATGACTACACTTCTATTAGGGTCTAAAAATAGAGCATGTTTACTCTGCTGGCAGCTGCTCAGTTTTTCTCTGGACTTTGCCAGTAGCAGTTGAGTTTCTGAGTTTCTCTTTGTACTGCCTAGGTATTAGTGTTGTGTGTGCTGAATAAAGACTATTCCTTCTTCAACCAAGGCTCAAAGGACCTCTTTACCGGTTACCTAGCTCATAGACCTGTGTGTGAAGGATTTATGAACATGCTCCAGGGTTCTGTGAGCTCCAGACCCTAGCTGTAGCACTACAGGCTTCTATCTAGAAAATTAACCACAAACTGCTTTATGTTCCAACTAGTCTAATAAAAAATTAAAATGAATTCCGATATCTAGATCAGTGACCCTGTCCTTCTGGACTGTAATGGCAGCTTCCTCACTGAAAAGCCTCTGACAAGCATCATAATCCCAGATACTCAAACTTATCATGGCCCCATCTTCATCCTACACTTCACTAGACATGCCTTTTAGTCCCACTTTTCAGACTTGTGACTTACCATAGCTTTCCTTCTTAGGGTATACACTGGGTTTTTACAATACGCCTGCTTGCTCTTCTGAAGGTAGCGCTTCCAAAAATTATGTAAAACTTCATTCTAAGGTGGAAGGGAAACTCATGGTGATTCAGGTCATGGCAACAAATATACAGGTACATCTATACTACAGAATCTCTTGTACTTTATATAGTCTCCCATCTAAATGTATTTTTACCTGCTTTTCCTAAAAAATAATTATCATCACAATATCAGGTATATGGGAAACACTAAATAAATCCTTCTTAATCTCAGATTTAGAGAAGAAAGGAACACTAGAGACTTCACCTAGTTGAATCCCTTCCTTTTGCATATAAAGTAATTAAGGATCAGAGAAAGAAAGCAATTGATATGACTACACTTCTATTAGGGGCAAAGCTGCTCTACCAACCAAGTGAAAGTAAATCTAAACAAAAAAACTTTTCTATTTATCTATTACTTACTAGGTACTAGGCATCCATTATATCAAACACAATACTGCAAGATAGCTATCGTCTCCGTTTTACCACTGAAGAAACTGAGTAACTTGGCCAAGATTACCCAGCCAATATGTAGAAAAGGCATGAACAGGATTTGGAAGTCAGTTATGATTCCAAAGCCTGTGTTTTTAGCATAAGGCCATTCAACTGGTCAGGTCTAAACAGTTCTGCTATCAGCTAATATCAGAAAAACTGTTTTCCGAATTAATACCTAATGAAGTGGGGAGAAAATTACACAGGAATAAAACCTGCTACAATTATATAGTATAACTATATAAAACTATTTATAAACATTTATAGGTAGGATGACTATGCAGAGAGAAACCAGATCACAAACCCCCACCATCAGCAATCTCACCTAATGCAATGACTAACATGGATAAGCTTGGTATTTCATGTTTTTGAAGTTTTAATTCCTATAATACTTTTCAGGTAGGCCCAGAGTCCCTTTAGGCCATGCATTGGTATAGAGGTCATTCTGTTTTGGCTTGCCCCAAACATTAGTCTGCATAGCAAAGGCTCCTCTACAAATCTTTCCTTGGTGACTTCAGCCCACATTGATCTTTCTCTTTTTTCTTTTTTGCCCTTATTATTACTTACGAGCATATCGTTATATAATTTCATGTTTATTCATTTAACATATGCATATATGTTATTCATCCTCTCAACTTTGCTCTCTCTCTTAGTGCTTGGTTTCCAACAGTGAGCATGAAGCCAGTGTACAATAACAACTTGTTGCTAAATAACTAGCTTTTTAAAGAATTCCTAAAATAGCTTCAACTAAATGAAGAAATATGAAATTCAAATAACTGCAAGCATACTATATTACTCCAGAGGCAGCAAAATAAAAGTGTCCCTGGACCCCGTCATGAGTGTCACTTTGGAACTTCTTAGAAATGCAAATTCTTGAGCCCTACCCCAGACCTAGTGACTCAGAAACTCTAGGAATGGGGTCCAGCCATCTGTGTTTTAACAAGTCTAAAGTGTCCCTGGACCCCGTCATGAGTGTCACTTTGGAACTTCTTAGAAATGCAAATTCTTGGGCCCTACCCCAGACCTACTGACTCAGAAACTCTAGGAATGGGGTCCAGCCATCTGTGTTTTAACAAGTCCTCCAGGTGATTCTAATGCACACTCAAGTTTGAGAACCACTGGTTTAATGTATATCTTCCTAATGTGCATTCTGTGGAACTCAAGTCCTGACAGACACTCATACACACACCAAAAGATTTTATTCTTAAATTGCAAATACCCCATAAGACATCCCCTGGAAATTAAATAAGCGCATTAACACTCAAGAGGCACCAATAAGTCTGCAAATTTATTTGTTTTACTTTGTTTAACCCACTAAATATGTTTTCTAAATATATGAAGACTAAAACCTTTTAAAATTTTCCCTTGGATATATTGCTTATTTATATCCTATAGAACACACTTTGAGAAATGCTGGTCTAGTAAAAGGATTAAAGCAAAAATACCAGAAAAATGATTCTTCCAGTAGCCCTAGTGTCATTACTGATTTCTCCTCAATTTCACTCTAAATCTTACTGTTCTTCAAACAATAAAATACAAAGCTAACATCTAGTCATAAATGGACTTACCTTTAACTCTGGGCCTACTCCAAGGGTCTTCAAGGCTTCTGCTTGTTGATAAAGTATGCACTGAAAACCTTCACACACATACCAATCCCAGCCTTTTTCTAAATGACAAATAGCATGTTTTAGACATTTGCATCTCTAATATACTGTGATGCTACTACAAATGCTAATTTGTATTTTACTTATTGCAACTTGGAATTTTGTTGTACCCTTGAATAGGGTTTACGTTCTTACATTCTCTTGTTTCCGACTTCGCAAATTTGCACACAAATGCTAAAACTAAACATTTTGTATAATTTATCAGATTTTAAATGGTTTCAATTGTCTATAATTTTTCTAAAATAACCTAAAAAAATGAATAGTCACCATGATTAAAAAAGTGAAAGAAGTCTTAAAAGAGTGAATTTTACTGAACAATGCCCAGCATAATCTTAAATGAAAAATACTCAGTCACTGCTTACATCACTTTTCTGTTACAACTCAGAAGGGAACAATAAATATTTGGTGAGTGAATGAACAAATGTCAAGATCTGATGGTCCAGGGGTGCAGGAAAGGGAAATAAGAACATTCAAAGAAAAAACTGTTCAATGGCATTCTGCTTTTCTGGAATCGGTTCTAGGTTCAAGGGAGAAACTGAAAGGGAACTAATACTTATTAATCTCTGCCTAGGTACCAGGTGTGTGTGAGGTATTTTAAGTAGGTTATTTTCTTGAACCCTCAAAACAACCTGCTATGGTTTAAATGCATCCCCAAACTTTCATGTGTTGTAAACTTAATCCCCAATGCAACAGTGCTGGGAGGTGGGGTCTAGTAAGAGGTGACTGGGTCATGAGGGCAAAGCCTTCATGAATAGATTGTTATTATTGTGGCAACAGGTTGTTATAAAGCAAATCTGGCCCCTCTGTTGCCTCTCTCTCACATATTCGCTTCTGCCTTCCGCCCTTCCGCCATGGGATGACCCTCACCAGATGCAAGCCCTATGCTCTTGGACTTCCCAGCCTCCAGAACTGTGGGAAATAAATTTCTTTATAAATTACCCAGTCTGTGGTAATCTGTTATAGTAGAAGAAAACCGACTAAGACACAAACCTAAGAGATGGTGAAGAAATCTGCCACTTCATAGAGCTACATGATTAACTATAACTACCAGTTAAAGAAAATGTTAAAATCTGTGAAGACCCTTATGTTTTACCCTCCACTGCCGGAAAATGGCTGTAACTCTTTGAAAACTATGTTATCAGAACTTTCACAATTTGTTCCTCATTCCACCACCCCTTCTTCCCTGCAGAATGTCAGAGGACTCCAACTCTCACTTCCCTGAATGTCACAACATCCCCCCATCCCTGCTGACTAACCCAATTCCTTCCTGGAACGGGTTTTAGGTTGTATGAGTAAAATGGAAAGCATGTCATATTGATGCATCCCGAAGTTGAGAGTTTAAACTCTTCAAGGTGTATACATCTGCTCTCTTCTTCCTGTACACTATTCTTAGAAACTGATAAAGCTGTATTTTAAATTCTGAGTCTGGGGCCGGCTCATGGCTCACTTGCGAGAGCATGGTACTGACAACACCAAGTCAAGAGTTAAGATCCCTTTACCAGTCATCTTTAAAAAAATAAATA